AAGAAAAGTTTTTTAATCTTAACATAAAAATCACTTTGCACACAGACTATTCAAAACAAATACTCAATATGTTCATGGACAAATCTTTATTTTATTTTATTAAAAATACTTCACTATAAAATATGATTTTAGTATATGAAAGACTTATAATGTTTACTGAAAGTCTGCCAAATTTTGTGAAGATATATACTCTATATTAAAAGTTAGTAGTATCAAAACTACAAAGACTTTAAATGAGTACAAAGAAGTCACATGGTCAGTCAAATTGACTGAGCCCGTGTTTAGGGAGTTAAGACACTATTAACAATTCTTAACAATTTTAAGTATAGTTATAATAAAATTATGAAGTATTAAAACATTTAAAGAACTATTTGAATATAATTTCTATGAAATTAAAAATTATACTAAATGTTAGTACAATTTGCAGTGCTAATATATAAAAATTTTAAAAAATGCTGTTTTCACATACCTGGTAAGGAGCCACTTGGTGAGTTACTTCCATGAGCTTGGAATGTGGAAGATGTCACACTGGAACTGTTCAATGGTTTAAAATCTGTGCCAACAGGAGCTGATGATGAAGTAATGTTAGCCTAGTTATAGGGAAACAAACGGTATAAAATTAAAATAAGAAAGTTCTGTGAAGTGAAATAGTTTTATCAGAATAATTAACAATACACATACTCAACAGACAGGTAAACGGTCTATGTTTCATATTTTCATTTGAAAATATCAGTTACAAAACTTAAAATCAATAAAATAACTACTTGGAACAGTATTTAGTATACAATTAAACATCTATTAATACAGACAACACATCTATGTGAAAGATATTTTAGCCAATAATTAGAATATATTTTCTGTCAATCAACAAATGATGCCAAAAAATAAAAGACTAACACCATAAGTATCTCAAACAGCATGAACTAAGCAAAAAATAACAACATACAACTGAGTGCTAAAAATAACTAACACATTATCTAAAGAGAAACAATATTTTTTTTTCATCCAATTATTTCATCAATAAAATATTTACAGATCTCATACCAATATAATGGTTAATAATGAGTAAGTGATGAGATGAAATATTGCTTTTGTCAGTAGAGAAGGTAATTAATAATTAATGTTTAGATGAGAGATTCATATCATTCTAAACAAGAGGGAATCCACTTGAAATTCTTTTAGACAAGATTAGAGTAAAATAATCTAAGAGATTATTAGCTATATTGGGTGTGCGTTTATCTGATTCAATTTTATTACTCATCAAGATCTCTACCAGCCTACCTTCAAATTGAAATTTTTTTATGCAGGATTAGAATATATTAATCTTTGAGACCTTGGTCATGGTCAAATAATCAAGCAAAAGGGTTTGACCTCCTGAGTCCCAAAGTTTGTGCTTGGAAACAAAACAAAAAACTCAGAGCTGTTCTATGAGTGCTACGCTGCAGCTAAAAACAAAGCTTAAATTAACAAAACCTTAGGCTGAACAAAATATTTCAAACGTTAGTAATGTTGCAGTAATTGAAAAATCTATAAGTTTCTGCTTTTCAATAAATTTATTTAAGCTTGCAATGCTCTAGAATATTTCTCATGTTTTCTGTGTATTTGCAAGCATACTGACATGAAATTTGTAAAGTATTAGCCTTGAACACAAATATTTGTAAGTTTCTACCATTTGTTTTTTTTTATTTTTCATAGCTTTATTAAAGCCTACTGATATAGATTTTAAGTCTTTTATATTATGCTTTTTTAAAAAATCACTTTTGACCATAAAAGAAAACGCTCTTGAGACAGTAATTCTTTAAACTAGCTATGTGCAAGTGTTTCTCAACTCATGCTACTATAGTAAATTAAAGCTTGTCTACAATTTTGATCCCATATAATGTTATTTTACATTTATATATTCCCTTTCCTCTAAATGAAGGTTCAGAGTAACTGGAGAAATTATTTCATTGCTTGCAGCAGCAACTCATTCCTGTGCACAGTTGTCAACTTTAAAACAAGAAAATTAAAAGCTGAAATTTATTACCAATTTGTGAATTCTCTTCTTATTTTTTGTATGTTAGTTATTTTTATTAAAATATTCTATCAGTTTGTGATATAATTACAGTGATATTTATATGAAGTTTTTAGTTGTAAAATGGAGTTTTGAAATATTTGAAAAGATTTATGAATTAACTAGCAATCCCAATTATGTAAATTTTCTATAACACTGATGAAATATAATAATTAATTTGATAATGCACCTTGCATAAAATGTTGTATCATTTTATTAAAGAATTTCTTATTTTATAGAATGAATGTACCTTTGTTGGAAGGGTGTTGTGAATGCTCTTATTTTGAAATTTGTCACATAAAACACACATAATAATTTTCATTTAACATATTAGAAAAGCCTTTTGTTGATAGTTCCTAACCACTAATAATTTTAATATTATGTTATTGTTTATGGCAATAGTTACACTGTTTGAACAATTTGCTTTTCATGTATGCAGCTAATACAGCAAACAAATATTTTGTGTTATCATGCATCTGTCTATTTGTCAACATATTTCCTCAGTATGACCGTTTTCTGGATAGTAACAGTTTTTAAGATATTTAAGAAGTACTGAGATAATACTTGTACAAATCAGCTACCACTAGAGCAAATACTGACTAATCCTTTACAAATTGTGTATCTTAAAAGGCAAATATTGAACATTACAAAAATTCATGCATGCTTCTACTACTAGACTTTCAATTCTTGTTTATTCATCAATGGGATCCTGGCTTTTTTTCCATTAAGAACCATAAACCCAACATTTCGATTATTTGTTTACTTTCCTGACAAAATTACATTGGTGTTGAATGATTGTGTCTGAAATTTGACAATCTCACAATTTTAACATAAACTGTATAACTGAAAATCATTTTGGAATAAGTGATATTTAATATGACTGTAGTACATTTTCATTTGTAACAAAAACTCCTTATTTATTAAAGACAATTTCAAGAATTTTGGTTTATTCATGCCTCCTCTAACTTTCATCAAATCATGTCTCTCTCTCTACAATTTGGGCTCTATCTAAATGATTTCATACATATAAATAATGTCAGATGGAAAAAAAAAATTCATTATTGTAATAATACACAATAGGTAAAAAGTACACATCATCAACTCTTTAGCACAGGCTCTGTCCGTCGGATCGACCTCGTAACCATTTTGTGCTTGTAATAGTTTTCATGCTATAAATCATTAAGCAAATGTTAACGAATTTAGGCAGATTATCAGTAAACATTACGATGCTTTCATACACAGATATCAAATTTTTTTATTAAATCTTAAGGTTTATAAGGCAATGTTTTTCTCATGTCATTTTTTTCTTTTCACATGTTGCCTATCTATCATCCAAAGTAATATTCATTTTTCAGATTAAAAATACTTTTATGCATCAGAAAATTTTGAAATTTCACATGCAAAATCTTTATAACGTTGACATTATAAGAAAAAAACTTTATATTTTATGTTATTTTCAGTAATTAATCTCTGTATGGGTTTCAGTAGATTTGACCAACTTCGCAACCACCATAAAAAATTAG